GACAACCAAAATGTTTGTTCCCTGTGGAGGAAGGAATGCAATGTGATGAATGTAAAAAGTGGTTCCATAAAATGTGCACCCGTTTAAGTTCCACTGCATACAAAAGGTGTTCGAAGGCTAACTCACATTGGCTCTGCATGTTTTGCTGTACAAATAAGACATTACTAATGCAGGAGGCTATGAGCCTATTTGCCCTAGTCTGTAAGAGGAACGATGACGCATGCACTGATAACACGAGCACTGACAGTGACGAACGTGTCAATGTAGTACGCGCTGTTACGAGACGCCTTAAACAACCGACTATGACTGACGGAAAAGTGGAATCTCCATTAAAATTAACGACGGAGTTATTACAACTTGATACTGATATTGGTAACCATGCACCCTTAGTGGAAACTGAAGATCTGGATAAAGCTGTCACTGCTTTAAATAGTCCCAGTGTCCTGGGGGATGAAAAATGGACTACAGTACGGAGAAAACGAAATGAAAGGAAAAAAGCTGTAGGCAGTACGCAGATGGTTAGCAAGTCACTAAATGCACTACCAAAATCTGATAGTAGGAGAGAAACGCACCCTGGCGTGAGTGAGAGGAAGAATCTAATCTCATCGAATATTATTGTGAGCAAATTGCTGGAGTCAAATGACCCAGATCCCAAAATTAGACACGCGCATGATTTAGAGAAGCTGGGAGAATATATTCGCAGTATCTTACCAGATGACTCTAAAGGAGTTCAGGTTAAAAAAAACTGGTTAGAATAGGCAAGAGGACTGAGGAGAATGTTGAACCCCGACCATGTAGACTCCTTAAGGTAATCCTAGGATCGGAGAAGCAACGGGATCTCCTGTTAAGTGGCGCTCGTTGTAACGACAATTCTGACATCCGAGTTAGACCTGACATGTCTCTCGAAGATAGAATAAAAAGGAAGAAAGCATTAGCTGAACTAGAAACCCGTCGGCAAAACGGTGAGGAAAACTTCCGGCTAGTGGGTTTTCGGATACTCAGGTCTTGGAAGCGAATGCTACCAAGGCCTGTGTGGATAGGCTGTTCTACCAAGGAGTTTTATATGCCAATGCTCATAGTCTAAGAAATAAGTTCTATGAACTAGAAGCATTAGTGGACAGATTAAAGCCACTCATTGTAGCACTGACAGAAACTTGGTTAGTCCATGACTTAGACATTACTCCAGAATTATCCGGATACCATTACCTCAGGAGTGATAGACGCAGATGTAGAAAAGATGGCGTCCTTTTATATATAGCCAATAATATAAATACCTGCTCCTCTATTAGCGAATCCCATGATAGCGGTACTTGTGAAGTCATTAGCTGTAAACTGACTATCGGGTGTAGTACATTTATGCTCGGTGTCATCTATCGCAGCCCGATATGCTTAGCTGATGATTTTATTTTAGAGCGCGTTCGTCTTTGGAGTGCAAAAACAAGATGTTTGATAATGAAAGACTTTAATGGACCTAATATTAGTTGGACTGAGATGGCCACAGAAGGATCTATAAACTCCTTTGATAGTAGGTTCCTGGTAATAATAATGGAGCGTTCACTAGTGCAGCATGTATCCAAACCCATACGTTTTGGTGCTAACCTAGGTTTTTCTGTTGGACTTGGTAATCACTCATGAGACTGAGGATATTGTCGACCTAAATATTCTTTCACCGTTAGTGAATAGCGATCACGCTGTTTTGTCATCCGCGTTTAGAACTAGGGACATGTTATACGACCAAGTTACACCTCGCCCAAATGTATGGAAAGCTAACATATCAGCCATTCAGGAATGCGCTACTAAGACAGGCTGGTTTGTAGATACTAGCTTATCAGTTGAAGAAGCATGGTCTGTATTTAAAGGTAAGTTTAGTTTAGTTACGTCCTCGTTCATACCATACCTGGTACCGCGAAGACCGAATAACAGTCCACCATGGATAACTAAAACGGCCAGGAAACTTCTTAGAAAAAAGAAGAATCACTGAAATACGTTCATCTCTACTGGCTTAGAACAATACAGATCCAGTTATTGTAAGATTAGGAATGCCTGTAAAGCGTTAATAAGTAAGACTAGACGATCATATGAAACACAATTGGTTAGGGTTTCTAGATGTAGTCCGAAACGTTTACTCTTGTATTTAAAAAAGGCGAACTCAGAGAGGCGATGGGATTCCATCACTTTTGATACAAGAAAATTCGTTAATATTGGCAGAAAATGATACCGATAAAGCTTCAGCTATATCGGAATATTTCAGTAAAGTGTTTTCAATAGGTAATGAGGAACGGCCAACGATTGATTGTGATCGCGGCGGCTCGCTGATGAACCCTGTAGTCATTGAGAAAGGTACCGTTTTAAGGCCACTTCAGCATCTCAAACCTGATAAGTTCAGTGGTCCCGATAATATTCATTCTAGGATTATGAAAGCCATATCAGATGAAATTCCTGAACCATTAGCGATACTGTTTGATATGTCTCCAAGGCAGTCCAGACTGTCCAGAGACTGAAAAGACGCTATAATAGGTCCGGTGTATAAGGCTGGGAGAAGGGATTTAGTTAGTAACTATAGGCCCGTTAGCTTAACTAGTGCAGTTGCAAAACTGATGGAGAGAATCATTCGGATAGCTGTTATAAACTATGTTGAAGGGCATAACCTTTTCTCCAGGGCACAACATAGTTTTCAAAGAGGCATGACATGCTTGACAAATCTTTTCATTGCACGAGAAGATTGAGCTGCTGTAAAAGACCGGAATATTCCTATGGATGTGATTTTCATAGATCTAAGTAAGGCCTTTGATAAGGTTTCCCACTCTGGTCTTAAGTTCATACTGGGACGTTTTGGAATCCATTATACAGTCGTCGATTGTATAAGTAACTTTCTCCATGACAGGAGACAAAGGGTAGGGGTAAATGGTGCTCTCTCCTCGTGCGTACCTGTAAAAAGTGGAGTTCCCCAAAACACAATCCTCAGTCCTCTTCTCTTTTCACCTTATGTAAATGAATTACCAACTATAGCAAAATCATCAGTTTTACTCTTCGCTGATGACCTAAAGATTTGGAGACCCATACATAATATGTCGGATAGAATAGTATTACAGGACGATCTTAGCTCATTGGTGGCATGGTTAGACAGGTGGTCACTAGAAGTAAATCCTAATAAGAGTGTAGTGATGCAAATAAATATGATGAATCGTATCACTACACAATATGTGGATTCATGCTACCCAAAGTAAGAAACTATAAAGATTTAGGAGTCATATTAGGCACTGATCACAAAACCACTAGTCAATGTAAGGCTGCTGCTGCTGCTACGAAAGGCTATAGGGTATTATGGTCTATTCTTAGGTAGTATATAGATGATGAAATGTTTAGATTATTGTAACCGATTTATGTGCGACCACATTTGGAATATGGGATTAAATCAGCGAGTCCTTGGATCAGAGATGCTGGAAAGCGTCCAACGACGGGGTACTACGATGACACAAGGTCTATCTGGCGTACCTTATAAAGACAGACTGAGACACCTTAACTTATTTCCGTTATCTCACCGTAGAGTACGGGGTGATCTAATATTGGCTTACCGTATACTGAACGATGACCTTGTGTTATAATCTCTTTCTTACAGTTATGACCCAGCCATTCATATTGCTTAGTATTCTCGAACACCGATTCACTCGACAAGTCCCCAAATCAGAACACGGTTGAACAGGAAAGAGATTATATTCCAAATAACAAGGTTAGATGGAAGTAAGAAGCACAATAGGGAAAACGTTAGTATACTTACAGTTTTTACATGAGAAGATTCCAGAGTATTCTCCAACTATCGACTAGTGCTGATTGAATAAGAATTAGCCAAACAGCATGCACCAAAGCAATCGTGCATTGAGCACGCTTTAATCCAGTCTGTGTCCCGCTAACACCTTGGTATTAACATCTCTTATCTTTTACTTCCGTCTCGGACTGATCATTTGAGAAAACATTCGAAGAAAGTTCAAAAACCATGATCAAATCGTTTAAGTCCTGAGTTTCGTTTCTCGCACCGAGTAGTGAATTACTGGAATTCTCTACCGGAACACGTAATATCAGCACCTTCTGTTAATATATGCAAAACGAGATTGGACCTCCACACTATTACAAACTGCAAGGATTTCGTGCCTTAAGGTAACCCTCGTGCTATGATAGAAGAAACCAGACAAGTAGTGAATAGGTCTTTATTTCGATCTTTGCGCAGTCACAGTGGAGCGTGGGATTATCTATTCAGACAAACAAAGGCTCTCAACATTCAATATAAGATAATAGGGAATATAACGCTTATACAAAATAAGGAAGTGAATGAATACTTGAACAATACTGTTTTGTCATATGCTTGGTTGTTTGTGGTCAACCCTTAACCAACCAACCTAAGCTGTTACAAAGATTAATATAGGTCGACAGACCTCCTATCCTTATTACTGAAGACTGAAGGTATATTATTAGCGCAGTACTAATATCATAGTAGACCATAATTCTTCAGATCCGCAAATAACTATCAAACTGCTTGAAATTAGTGCGGTCGAGTGACTAGACCAACACCCATCAAAAATTGCCAAATGCCTGTGACTGCAAAGAAACGACAAGACACAAGAGCAAATGTGTCAATCGGTTTATACAAGCTCGTGACAAAAATATTGGAGATTACGTATTTATTATACTTTACTAAAACTAGGAAGGCAAGCAGAAGAGTTTATCAACTGATATCACAAAAAATTTCGTTAAATTTTACGGATGTTGCTGTAAAAAACTAGAAGAATATAACATCGTAGGCTATTTCTTTGTACCGACAAATCAAATTGTTACTATCAGCTGCGTACACTGACTGTATTTAGAATCCCTCAAGAGTTTGAAAAAAATCGGTATAGGTGTCTTGAATAATTATTACTGTTCCTTAAGCAACCAAAAGTGATTCAAATATTAGATTTCAATCTGATGGTCAGTGTGTTTTTTTCGACCACAAAGAAACCTAATGGCATGGCTACATAAAGCCGGGTTAATCAAATATGGGTCTTGATTATTACCAGTTACTGAATATACCTCGAAGTGCTGACCATGCAGAGATATGCAAGGCGTGAGATTTATTTGCTTCAGTAACATTATAGCCTTCTTGCTCATTTAGTAACGATTTTACCTATAACTGTTGTGCTGAAATATTAATTTATTCGTAATTATAGAGAAATTCTAGCTGTGTTGTGTAACACATGCACTCAGTTTATCATGCATCTAGAATTTAAGATATGATGAGACTCAAAAAAGTTATGCGTTTGTATAGTGGCATCATTTTTGTGCTGTATGCAAATAATCCGCCTTTTTTTACTGTCCTATAGATGATAATGAAGACATTTTCACTTCGGAAGGAATTCACTTTGTAATGTTATTGCTCGCATTATTCTTGTTCCCTCATCTATCAATGGTAGTTTATAAACAGCACCAGATCGCTCATTGAAAGCTGCTCTGCCAATCCTAATTAATACCCACCATTTGGGACTTAATTTGTTGAATCATCGCTTGTCTAATATTGCCAGGCAATTTTTAGTAGACAACACCTAAAGGGTCTAATAGGTTATCAAAACGTTTTGATATCATAAAAACGAATCAACTTATTTTCTGATTGAAATTCAACGTGCTCTGTTTTCCAATACTTCTTTTAAATGAAGTTACCGAAGATTGGCTTTACACTACCATCCTTGCTGCGCTCAACCTGGAGAAGACTTCAATGAGTGCTTTTCGGCCATCTCAGAAGCCTACGATGTTCTGTCAGACTTAAAAAAGAAGGCAATTTATGACCGATTTGGAGAAGAAGGTTTGAAAGGTGGTGCACCAATCAATTCAGAATGGACGAAGCCCTATGTATATCATGGAGATCCACACAAAACGTTCATGTCTTTTTTTGGAACAGATAATCCTTTCAACCGTAATTTTTTCAATTCCCCCATCATCACTTTAACAATCAGGATTTCAGGAAGAAATGGACTCACAAGTTGAACATAATTTCGGAGGTCTTAACGGTCGTGGTCGTCCTCATCAAGACCCACCAATTGAACGTGAAATGTCTCTGACCCTCGAAGAAATTTACAATGGATGTACTAAAAAGATGAAGATTTCCCGCCGAGTAAGAAAAGTCTCATTGAAAGTTTGGTATCATTTATTCACTTTTTTTATTCAAATGGAAGTTCTCCTTTAAATAATGCAAGGAAAAACATATTTTCAGGTAATTTCATATAATTGTAGGAGTTAGATAATCAGTGGAGATTAAAAAAGATTGATTAACTAGTCGATTTAATCTGAAACCTCAGCACAACAAGATCTGTACTCTTAATCGGACTCTAACGCCTCTGCGTCTTCAGTCAGTCCTGTAATGTAGAAGCTGACATATATGTTAGTCGGTTTGAATCATCATACCACATTAGCCAAGTGATACAAAACTATCAGGCAAAACCTATAGGGTAGTATCAGTAGAAGCAAAATACTAGCTACAGTCTTGTTAGTTGACATGTGCCATATCAATTTACTCGTAGTTACGTTTAACACATCTTCAACTGATTACTATGAAATAAAGTAAATAGAAGATTTCCAACTTCATATCTATTATGCATTCGTCTATAATTACATTTGTTTTGGCTGGTATATCATTATTACTCGGCTTTTTGAAGTGAGTGTACATTTATCATTACGTATATCAATTGAATACCTCCAGCGTTGGGCACTATTAGTACCTTATTTAAAGGGTTTTACGAGTTACTGGGTGAAAACTGCTTTTATGAAACAATCATTTAGATCTATAATTAACTTTTCATCATGGTGTTGAAAATTAAATTTACGAAATTCTATTTTTCGGAGATAATGAATGAAGACGGACACACAAGTAGCATCAAGGATAAAATACTTTCATTGACTGTTTTTCCTGGATGGTATGAAGGCACTCGTATCACATTCCCCAAGGAAGGTGATCAAGGTCCAAATACAATTCCAGGTAATGTTTTACCTCTAACTAACTTCTTTGTTTTACCTAATCTGCTAATTTTCGTACACTTTAATCGAAAAATTATTGTTCATTTGTGGTTATTTAATGGCTTTTTTGGCCTGTTTTAAAATCGTAGTAATTTATTTAACATCACTATGAGGCTGAATGACATTTGCAAAACTCCTTGACATATAGTGCTTCTCAGTGGTCAGCGGATTCACTGTTATAACACTTGTGCCTGCTCAAATGCAAATGTCTGTGGACTGAATTTGTAACCCAACTTTCAAGTTGACGTACAATACCTGCGATATATCAACATAAACAATGTCGGATCCACAAGAAATACTTTTGAATTCAAGTTGTCGTATTTATCACCAGTACATCAAAACATAGCACTTAGGATAGAAAACATAAATGAAGCTAGTACTAACACTAGTAGTAGAAGCCTAAGAATAATAAATATGGTTCAAACTAATCAAACTCGACGACCAATTTTAAACCATTATTTTGCGAGAAAAGCATTTAATATCTTCAAATGACGGAACTATGCCACCTGTATACTTTAATTCGATAAAAGACCCTTCATATTAGAAGTCGATACCTGAAACTTCATATTATAAGCTTGTGAAAAACAAATGTTCAGAATTAGTCCAAAAATGTATAATCCGACAAAGGAAAATTCATTTAGATTATTACTAATGTTGTTATTCTGATGTAATTATCTCGCATTAAAATTATCCTACTAAAAGATTTCTTTAGATGTCATATATACTCATAGCAAACGTTACACCTAATGGTGCTTGCTGATTCTCTGTAAATTGAAGTAAAATATTTCGTGACTTTAAATGTTTAAAGTTTTTTCGAAAGATATATATAAAATTCTCCCAAAATGATGCTGATATTTTAGTTTCACTTTTATACAGGGATATTTACCAGCTAATTTTGTTGTTCAGATAAATCAAATCAAATATAACGCAGAATGTGTTGTTTAGGTTAAGACAATCTTCATCGATGATTAAATTTACTTTGAAGGCAGATTTAAGTATTTATTGTCTCCGAGGTAAATTCTGGTTATTAAATGTAGACAACCCTTTTGAAAGGCAAACCGTCTTTTGTTTTGACTTCTTGAGTTGTAGAAACATCTGATAAGTCCACGTTATCTTAATTATTTTTCTTTTCACGGTTGAAATTACGAGTCAATCTAAGCTATATCACCATTGAAACTTCAGAAGCCCTGGGGGTCGTTTCTTTCCAGTATGGGACTCTTCAGCAGTGTTCATCCACGATCCCTCACGTAGGACTCGAACCCATGTGTGAACGCTTATCCTCTAGACCGCTGAGCTGGTATCCAACGGTGTTAACGTCTAACATAAATCGGTCCATGATCTTGCACAATCCTTTCTCCATTGCCTGAGGTAGATAATTGTCTCACTCACCCAGTGCTCACAGGCTTTCATTAGTGGTCTAGCTTAGAACGACTCATGATTTCAACTGTGAAAATACTGCAGTCTTCACAAATCCCCATACTCATATTTTTCTTTTTTCCCTTTCATAGCTGACATTGTATTTATTTTACGTGATCATCCACATAAACATTTTAAGCGTGAAGGAACTGACTTAATATTTACTTCATCAGTGCCATTGGCCAAGCTTTATTAGGTTGTATTGTAGATGTCCCTACATTAGACGGAAGATTGTTACATGTTCCAATCACGGAAATCATTCAGTAAGTTAGATAACACTTTTATTACTTATTTTCTTACAATTCATTTTATTACAACTAATTGTTCCGAGTGTTTGCAGTATTGTTTCATCATTATTATTTAACAGTCAATTTTGTTAGAAGGTGGGAAATATATAACTCAGTAATTTAGTTACAATTATTAGTCTAACCAACTAGTCTAGCCTCATTGTAAGTTGTATACAAATTATTGGTTAATTTGTGTCAAGTGCTGTTCAGTTTAGAGTATCCAGGTTTGATTATTGGCCGGATAAATAAGTGGGACATAACTCAGTGTATTTTAGTATGTTTGCTAATCAGCGGTTGCATCGGTTGTGGATTAATCGTATTTGCATAACAAGCCTTCATCTACAGTCTTTTTTTTGCTTTGCGTCAAGCTGTATTGGTCTTTGTTCATTTGTAACAAGTAGTCATAGCAATGATTTTATATCATTTGTAAATATTTTATTCTTTTAATCTCTACTTCACTATAGCCATTCGACATAGAATTAACGAATAATACCAACAATGTACTTTTTTGGGGCTAAATAAGACAAAATTCATCATGACGATATCTTTTAGAGTAAGAAAGGTTAAATATCAGCGTGTTAAGAAAAAAAGTCTTGAAGAATAAAATCCTAGCAAAGAATCGAAAACACCGATGTTCAGTTTGATATCCGGTGTAGTTTCCACTGTGCAGAAATAAATTTCCTCTTTGTCTATATACTGGAATTATAATATAATGTAGTAATTTTATATCACGGACTGATTTTAATTAGACAACTATCAAGAATCACTAAGCACTAGACAGTTGCTTCGTTCTAGAATAAGACTTCTTTAACAGCATACATAAACCACTTCACCAGGGGTCGAACCCAGAACCATCAGGTCTTGCGGTGATCGCCTAACCCTTCTGAAATAGGTAGTTTCTCACATTTCTAACTTTTATCAGTCTACGATATTATGTGACCATAATCCGTTGTCACTGGTGATATTCGTCTCACTCTCATTATGACAGGACTCTACTCGTTACGGCTTCAGACTTTGAGCAATATAAACATATTTTTTGTATCAATCATAGGTTAACTACCTTTATTTAGACATATTTCAGTATAAAATAAGTATAATTTCTTGTGGATTGTACTGATTCAGAGATATTTTTATCTGGATAAATAGTTTTGTTTTGTAATCCAGTCATTCATAAAACCGGATGTTGTTTGTAAGTAAGAAATAATTGATTATAGCATCACCTCTTTGCCCAATATGTATATTGAAAAAAAACTAGTTTTTTTGTTTCCTTTATATCTTATATGTACGTAATTAAGCATTCAAACTAGACGAACATTGTAAATTTACAATTTTAAGTGGATAACAGATAATATCAGGAAGAATGAGTTCAGATCTCATTTTTCTTACTGTTCACTTTTAATTTATTGATAAAATTCACTGTTAAAATCAGCGTTCATAATTTCTTCATTCAAAATCGTTCATTATAAAGTACGTATATGTGTAGTGTTTTGGGAAATGATAAAATATATATGTGTTCAAAGCAATTGGTCTTTGAATCCACGAGTAATTCGTTCTCTCCAAATGAGGATTTAAAAAGAAGACCAATTCATCTTAATTCATGGTTATTTTTCCTGCATTAAAAATGATTTTCAACACATTTAAGTTATTAAAAATGGTTACCGAAGGTCCAGAAGTACATAATTTAAAGCATATATTCTCAATAAAAGAAATAACATTTGTGTATGTATTCTCTAACTACATAATTTCTGGTCTCGATAGTTTGATTGAAAATTATATGCAAAAGTTATATTACTAAAGATTGCAGATTTTAGATAGTAGAAACAATTAGGAAAAGGTTTGCACAGTAGATTATACGTTTCAGAAACTGATAATATTTGAAGAGTTACTGAAAATTAAATGATCGTTAGGGTTCTGTTTTAGCTTGATTAAGGCCACATCTAAAGTTCTCATTTTAAATATTATGTCTTATCCAACAAATCCTAGATGTTAGATTCTATTCAAACGACTCACCAATAATGTGATCACTACAATAGATGACATTTCTAGTTTAAGTCTAATAAAAGTTATAGAGTTCATATTATCACATGATCTAAAATTCATGTATCCGACTTGAGTAGTATCTCGTAGTTACAGTTTTTCTGTAGCTCACTCATCAATGACTCAAATAACAGTCTTGAATAGTTCAAGATTAAATTGTTCATTTTGTAAAAATAAATTACTTTCTTTATTGATGTACTATGTTCATAAAAATCTTTCTATCTTTGAAAAACATGGATTTTATAGTCCCAACTATGAAAAAGTAGTGCCAGGTGAAGGTATGCCATTACCTGATAATCCAGAGAAGAAAGGAGATTTACGAATTCGATTCAATATTCAATTTCCTAAAAAATTAAGTGGCGATCAAAAGTTAAGTATTGAAAGAGCATTTTTTGGATAATTTTACCGTTCTTGGACAATACTATTTTTATCATTTTGAAGTCATAGTAGACACTCATGGATATATATATATATATATATATATATATATATATATATATATATATATATATATATATATATGGAATTAAGAGAAAGTTTCTGAAACGAAGTAGAATAACAAGAATTTTTATTTGTTTCTTCACAACTCTGCCTTATAAATGATAATAATTTTATAAACAGTATATCTATGTGATAAAGAGTTGTAAACATTCTTAGTTTTCATAATGATAATGATAAGTATGAGTATCGGTTTGATCAGCAAAATAAAATATTATTCTACCTCTTTTTTAATGAAATATCTTTTCAGTATGCCGTTTGAAACTTTACCCATGAAAGTGACTAATGTTTAAGCATAACAACTTTCAGATTTCAAGTTATTTAGTTGCTCTACAATAATTAATTCAACCCAAAGCTTGTGAAAAGGATTAAAGGTGCACACTTAGAAAATTATAATGTCGAAAATAATGTAAATATCTAGTTCTCTTTGACGTTGTTAGGCTCCTTATTTTATTGTCAATCGGTACATAAAAATTGTAAACTTTTGGCTTGGTAAAAGCATAATATACTGATGGCCTTGGGTTAACCAATAAGAATTAAAATAACTTCCAATTATTTGTACAAGGTCTAAAGTGAAGTGATAGATAGCATGTATGTTATTATTAAGCAAGTAAAAATGGGCAATATTTGGTTGTTAAAATATTTGAAATCAATGGAAACGCTTATTATACAACAATAAAGTAAATTTCAGATGACGCTTAAATTAAATTATATGACATACCTGCTTTTAAGGCAGATTGTATGTCCACGTACTTAATGGCACTCATTATGTAATCAAGAGTGTTTAGTGGATCTAAACAGTATTTTCTCTTCTCCACTCTCACTCTAAATCCCAACCCTAAGTTTTGCAAGTCTGTAAACAGGAAGGTGGAAAAGCATTGTATTATAACTGATGTCAGTTCGTGCTGAAAACCCTAAACTCAATTCGTTTTATAACTAGGCAACATTTTCTGATTGGCCGATAAGTCGCCCGAGGTCTTCAGTATATTATACTTTTACCTTTGGCTTCTATGTAAATGCTAATAGATTAAAAATACGCCATGGTATAAAGTCTATCAGGTCATATAAAACAATTTTTGGGATTGGTAATACATTTTATTTTCAGTAGAAAGATAGAATATGGCCTTATTAAACCTGGTGTGTTCTCACTGTGAATATTCTGCTTTGTGAACTTTGAAACATGGCTGGTGTTTTAGATTTTTTAAGCGACTGATACAGAGAAGCATTGTTTATTTGGGTGCTTTGCTAGTAATCGATCAACTTAAAGGGAAGATTTATTGACAAACTGATATTCGCTATAGAACGATCGAAAATTGTGTCATTATTTATTAGTTAAGACCATGGGAAAATTCCAAATCACTGACGATTGCACAATAAGCAAGCTAGAAAACTAACTTTTTTGTTTCAACTCATTGATCAGAAGTAACGTGACCATGCCAAAACTCTAATAGTTTATATTCACCCCTGTATGAATACGAAGGCACTAGCTTCCAATAATTTAAGTGATAGGAAGAAACAGCTGTCGAGTAGCTACGGGTTTTATAAACTGTGAACTTGTAACTATTTTGGTGGAGTTTTGTTCTCTGAGCTGGATGGTTTGGTCGTGGAGCTTTCATCGTTCTTCTGAACGACATCATCAGCACAAACTTCGGATAGAAGTGAAGTGTTCGAATTTCTCCATATGTGTTTCACAGCTTCTTCTGTGCACCTCGATGTTGATTGGTTCTTGTTGACCTTAAATTTATCATTGTTTACTTCTTTGTTTTGGTTGTGTCTCCCATTGGTTTGATTTCTGTTCCCATATTTATGCATGATTTTCCTGATTGGTTGATAAATTGGATTGATTTCAATATGTTTGTTGATTGCTGATTGACCTGAGTGCCAGGCTTCTAAAAATTCTCTGGTGTTTTTGGAGTTTCCTCCTTCTAAGATTTCTACATTTTTCCAATCGAATGAGTGTCCGCAGTTGTCCACGTGTATTGATATAAGGAGGAGATATCATGGAGTTTGACTGCTAATTGATGTTCATATAGGCGAAGGTGGAGGGGGCGTCCGCTTTGTCCGATGTAGTGTTTGTCGCAGTCAATACAATTTATTTTGTAGATGATATTTGATTTGTTTCCTTTGTTATTTCATCCTTTGGTTTGCATAGGATCGATTGTAGTGATTTTGTCGGTTTGTGTGCCACACCTATCCCAAAGGTTTTCAGCAGTCTCGTTGCAGTTTCTGATATTCCTTGTATGTACGGTAGGGTGATCCTTTTGTTGATTTTTGTGCTTGACTTGGGTTATGATGCTGCGTGTGGTTGGTGAAAGCTCCACGACCAAACCATCCAGCTCAGAGAACAAAACTCCACCAAAATCATCCGCCTGAGCTACAAATCTCCATCTCAACTTGTAACTACGTCAAATATATGCAAGGAACGATTGCCTACTTGTGAGTAGTGTAAAATAGTCGACATAATTTTATGTCCATAGATGGATTAGGAGATATCTTGCTATATCTTGTTATTAAGGATCTATACTCATATTTATTAAATTTATAGTCCGAATGACATATCTGTCGCTAAAGAAACTGAACAGTGGCTTTTTGAGCTTCAATTAATTGAATATGAATCCATTTTACTTAACAGTTTCCGTAACGTTCATTATCAGTGATCGGTCTACCTACTAGTCCATGGTTAATATACAGACAGAGTGAACCTTTTGATCTAGTCTACGGCTTTGACGCGATGGGTTACTAAGTCCTACCTTGAGATTTCAACGTACGTTTGACTACAACAGATAGAAGAGTTGTCCTATCACTGAACTATTACTTGATAAGTTGACAATCAGAGAGAGAGAAATCTACTTAGTTGGAACGGCAATCTGATTCTCCATTGCTTTCAATTCGACTATGACTCAAACTTATACAATAATATGAAGTAAAATCCTGATCACATATCAGTATAATTAAGAAATCATAATAACAACATAACTACGCCATAAGTGGAAGAGAATTTAGTTGTAGGTTCGTAGAAAATTTAATGTTGTTTTCTAGAATTTTCCGGAAATTTTCTGTGCAATGTTGACTGATAGAAATATTCCAAATGCTCCACTGCCTTTTGAAAATCGTTCCAAATAATTACCGACGGCTCCCAAAAAATATGAATTGTCAAATAAAATGTCATAGATGAAAGTGGTCGCACAGGAACCAATGGTTCTTCACTTGTTTTTGTCTTATCAACATATTACTAAAGTGTCAATCATATTTTAACAAACAACTCAAAAACCAAGGAAACTCAAGCGGTACTTGTTTCGTTACTGTTTAGAAAACGACTAGTAATGTTATACTGGTAAGTAGCTATGTTCCTTAATCTAACGAAATAAAACAGCCAATAATGTCAAACACTATCATTGGTCCAAGAATATTTTTAAACTAAATATCATACTCCTTATTTCCTACATATCGAAATACATAAATGCTATAAATAATTAATGAGTTAATGGACAAGATAAGTGGTTGCTAAGACGTGTGCAAATAGTCATTTTAAGAAATGGAGAAAAGATTCTAAAAAAGGCGGGAGATAACAAGCAAACTATGTGAAGAGTCAAATGACCTGTTAACTCCATCAGCCAAAAAATTGACAGGGGCTTTCTAATCTTATTTGAACACACGTTAGGGTTGTATGCTCGAGTCCCTGTGTGTATACATAATCCAAATTGTTTCAGTTCGCATTTTTAAAGAACATGGTCATATAGTAAGTTCTGTTGAACTTAAGGTGGCATCTTTGTCTAGTCTTGCTGGCGTTGGTGTTGCACTAAGCGCTAAAGCTGAGGCAGCATTAATCGACTGGATCCCCATTAACAGTCGGTTATGTGCTGTTAGATTAGAAAGCTCCTTCAAAGTGAGAAGAAATCGGCGTGAGAAACGATGTCTTTTAGTTATCTCCGCCTATGCTCCGACAGATTGCAGCCCGGATGCAATCAAGGATGAGTGTTATCACCAGTTATCTGTTCTTCTCCAGAAAGTGCGTTCGACAGATATTGTAATACTAGCTGGAGACTTGAATGCTCAGCTCGGGCGTCTAGGCACAGAAGAGAGTTGTTTAGGTGGCCGATGGGGGCTTGTTGGTCGCAGGACAGATAACGGGGACCGTCTACTGCAACTTTACAGACCACACCCTGTTTCTGGCTACCACTAACTTTCGGCACAGTCATCGCCGATGTGCCACCTGGTGTCCTCCCTCTGCATCTCAAGCCTGGACTCAGATTGGTCACATCGCGATCAGCTACCGCTGGCGTGGTTGTGTACAAGACTGTCGCTCTTTTGGAGTGCCTATCTGGACTCTGATCACGCCCTGGTCTGCGCCAATCTCACCTTACTTTTCAGTGGCCAACGAATTGATCGTTGTAAGCGGATCGATGTCAGTAAATTAGTTGCAACTTCTGTTGCAAGTAAGTATCGAACCGAGGTAGCTTTTAGGCTAGCTACCATTCCACCGAAAAGTATGGATGAGCATTAATTGCAACTGCACGACGCAATAAAAATGGCGAGTAAAGCCGCATGTGGTTTCGCGAAGCGTCGCGCTTATAAGCACTGTGTTTTTTCAGTCTTCTTACACATCATCGAAGCCCGTCGGTCTACTCCGGGTGACCGTTAGTTTGACTACAAACGAAGACTTTTACGTAATGAAATTGGGCAAAGCTTGCACAATGACCGAGAAGCCTGGTGGTTGGAGCGTACTAATGAGTTGGAAGCAGCAGCTGCATCTGGTAACTGCCGGAAGCTCTTTTAACTCATCCGAGCCACTGGCATCAAGAAGTCTGGTGTGAGCGAAGCAATCTGCGAGGACGATGGGATGCCAATCACTAGCATCCATCGACGTCTTGGATGATGGGTAGGGTTAGACGAAGGTGCAGTTCAACTGGCCTGTTGCCCCGGTAATATCCATCAGACTGTCCTGCCCCCCATGGTCCGTGACGACTGATCCACCAAA